TCGATGCCTTTTTGGCACTAATTGTTTATTCATCACTCAAAAGTGAGTTACTTTGAACCTCTAATAAAACAAACATGAATACTGTTTTTATAATTCTAAGCGAAATACACTCACATACCCTGTATAAAATTCATGCAATATTTTAGTGTCTAAAAGGGGTATAAATCTCATGGCAGTCAAATGTTACGTTTGAAAACAAGGTGTGGAAAGACAAACACTTTTTGATTTGAATTATTTCATGAATCTGAAGAAGAAGGTATTTATGAAATTCCTAGAGTTCAGCGTTTTACTTTTCTCTTTGTTGGTTCTTAACAATGAGGCCATTCTAAACTATATGCAGGAGTCTCGCTTGGTTACTGTTTACTCGATGAATAGTTTAATACGTATGTTGAAGAAATTAAGTTTACGTAAAAAGTTTAAGCGACCTTTTTTCACGGTAAATACACGTATCTTAAGCAGAATCACAATTTTCAAATAGCTGCTATCCTAAACATGTCAACTTGTATTGTTCTGATGCAAAGGTGCCTAAGAATACAAAATTACTTTACGTGATCTGGTTCCATGATTTTATCTGATAGTGAGTTTTAGTAGTAATTATTCACCATAAAGAAGGAAGGAAAAGAAAGAATATTAGCAGATAAATAGACTGGAATAGATTTGTATCAGTCTCAATACCAACTCCCAGAAAGTGATATGCTTTTGTAAAATGAATGGTATTTAACATGACGCTATCCTGTTTAAACGTAATGGGATTATTTTGTCCGAATTGTAGTTACTTTCTTATCGCATGTAGCCCGACGACATTCAGGATTCTGTTAGTCTTTCATACACCCAGTTCTCTTTATCAGTTTGAACAAAGCAAGGAAGAACATATTCATGGACATTATTCAGCTGTTAACAGCCTAAAAAGAACAAGTTATTAGAAATGTAAATAAATAACACTTCAAAATTGTTTGAACTTCAACACCATAGTAGTGGAATAAGAGATATGAACAGAAGACAGTTAATAGTCGAACAACCAGACTTTATTCATATATAATATGATGAAAAGTTTGAAAGGAAAAGGCGGAAGTGCGAAAAGATGGTAGGCAGAAGTAAGACTATTACGTTAACAAACACCGAAGATTAATACTGAATTCAGCTCAGTAAGTTGCAATCAAAAACAAAATTGTGGCTCAGTAAAATACACAGAAACAGAACAGGGAAGTCTACTTGCCAGAGTATTAGAACATTATTGTTATTTACAAGTGTTACACTTACCCAAATCGCCTGCTTCGCAGAAGCCATTATTCACCGTGTAACTCTGCACAAAACTGCAGAAGTTCTAGCTGCCACATTTTGGGAAAACACGCTACAATCATCGGAAGTGTATGGAAGAAAGAATAAGTGGATGACGACTATTAATGATTTTAGGAATTCGGCAGGTAAAAAGGAGTGACTACATCTACTCCACTGAGAATGATTTTGAGTCATATCATCAATAGTTTCTAAGCATTGATTCTTAGCATTTCATGGACTCCAACGAGGTAGTCTACACCATGATACCTCTCTCAAACTAACAGTCAGTGAGAGTATCACGAACCATCACAGATAAGTAACCGTTTTTAAAGCTGATTTGCTCAGTTTCACTAACTACAGCTTCTAATCAGAGATTCGGAGGGATGCAGTTATTAATACTGCATCACTAATTATTATATCAAATAAACTTATCGAATATGGAATTTTCAAGTATTGGTTTGGTAGGGATTTTGTTTGATTGTATGGAGGATTTCATCATGAGCTGACATCAGTTAGAGAACCACTGGAAAACCTGGGAGTACTGGACAGCTGTTTCGTCCTAGTTTGGGACTCTTCATCAGTACGCACCCACCGGGATTCGAACCCAGGACCTTCTGGTTACAAGGCAGTTAACCTGGGGTTCTAGTGGGAAGCCGTGACCAGTAGGGTACAGCAGGTTGAAGATGTGACAGTAACTCATCTAAGAAGACATTGCGAAATGGTCGCGCTATGTCGTGAATTGGCAGAAGTTAGAATTCAAGGACCATTGGATCGGGTCCCAGTGGCTCAATGGTCTACGAGCTCGCCTTGTAACCAGAAGGTCCTGGGTTCGAATCCCGGTGGGTGCGTACTGCTGAAGAGTCCCAAACTAGGACGAAACAGCTGTCCAGTACTCCCAGGTTTTCCAGTGGTTCTCTAACTGATGTCAGCTCATGATGAAATCCTCCATAGAATATGGAATTTATCAATTTCATACTAGGATGAAAAAGTTACCTGTATGCTTCCTTATTGTAAGTTATTTCTCAGCTGAATTTTTTCAACGTTGAAAACCACTTAGGTAGGAGAAAACTGACATGCTAAATCTAAGACCAGTAAACTTAAGACAGGTCCATGAAAAATCTTCTGAGTTAATAGGCGTACAGACGTAATAGTGTACAAATTTAATTAATGAATGTCCACTAGATTAATTACTTCTTCATAACTGTAATGATCAGAACATATTTCACTTTAAGATTATCAAAGGGATTATCATAATTCATACATCAAAGGGAGTTTTATATTACTGAACATTTAACATAAATATAATAAATAAGTACAATATATCCATACGGTAATTTAATTTAGTTATGAACCTTAAGGAAGCAAAGGAAAAGATCGCATGAGAATCATTAAGGTCCATTATTGAAATATTTTATTACCCTTATAATCCAACAGTAATAATAATTTTACAAACACCGTGCTATAAAAGCAACTTAGTAGTTCAGCGTTTTTGTTGTTTGAATATATATGACCGATAAATTGATCGTGTTGTTTCAAACAGTGAGCCATGACCCCTCAATTTCATTTCAAAGTGAACTTAACCTAAACAAGCCACTCTACTCGAACTCATACAGCCGTACAAGAGCTTATGAAGAGTTTTCATCTGCAGGGATGAAAACAAGTGGTGTCTATCAGGGTTGTCCACCATCCCCATTTCTGTTTAATTCCATCATAGATGTACTAATGGAATTGACTATAATTAACTCTAGCGACTTAGGGATTGACTTGTTACCAGGGAAAAGTCTTCACTTATTTTAAGCGGACGCTACTGTCCTTTTCGAGGAAGACACTAACAAAACACAGAGTTTTATGAATACCCTGAGAAGAAATCTTGGAATGTTCGGTATGCGAATCGCTCCTGTCAAATGTAAGACGAAGCAGCACGACTGGTTTGAACTGACTTCTAACTTAAAGACAGAGAGTGAAGTGGTAGAGTGTGTTGACGTGATATCCGGCCACCATCGAAGCACATGTGTACTGTGCAGCAGTTTGCTCTGTCCTCCTTTGTGGCTGTGAGACAGTGTCATTGAAAGTAGAAGATATGAAAATGTCAGCTGTCTTTAATCTTTGATGTTTACCTTCTATAATACAGTGAGCAATATTGAGGTTAGGAGTAGAGTGCTATGTAAGGAAGGGAAGTCAGTTGATGACGTTGTGAAACTAGGCCAATTTAGATGGTTAGGATATGTATTGCTCATACTGAGCCACCGCCTTTCTCAATGAGCAATGTTATCTGACACAGGATAAGGTTGGAAAATAATTAAAGGTGGTCATATCAGAATGTGGCATCAAACCTTCAGGTATTTGATAGTTGATATGAACTAGGTAGAGAGGTTTAGATTGCTTCGTTGGAGATATCGGGATGCTAAGAAGCAGTGAATTGTGATTGTCGGTGGTATGGTTCAAAATTGTCCTCAATGGTGCAGATGTATTCACTCTTTGTAAACTTCCTGAATCGTTAAATCTTCATGTTTTCTCCATACTACTCTTCTGCTCATCATTGTGTGTGATGCATAGAATGTAGCAAACTGAATCACTGCACTTCTTTGCAAACTGCTACGCTGAAAATTAGTCAATCAGTCAGTTGTAAGTGGTGTGTTAATTGTCTAGACAGTGATGACTGTGACAAGCGATGATCAACCACAGACTTGAGAAATTCTTACTAGTCACTGTATTTTTGTGTTTTCTACATTTAATTTTCTTACATTAATGGTATACCACAGCTATGCCACGTCCCATAAACCCAGCAGCTAAAATAGTCACAACCACCGGATAGATCTTAAAAACATAAAAACAAATTCATTACAAGCAAATAGATTTTCTAATTATACAGTTTCACCATGATATAATGAACTCTTTACGTATATTTTGATTTATCCTATCAGTTAATTGGTATTAAAACAATATTTTGAGTTAGAGGTACACGAGATATATATTTTTAGGATATTCATATACGCCTAAATGACTGATTGTGTACATAAATTCAAATTTAAACATGATCATATCCACAACAACATGGCAGATACATTCACTCATGTTTTTGAAATAGTAAAATCAGATAATTTTTAAAATTCTGTCTTCTGAAAAGAATAAACATTGTATGTATGTGGAACCTTTGAAAAAAGTATATGAATCAAGATAACTATTGAGCGTTTAACCCTTAATCAACAAAATGAGAACGTTAATTATTTTTCCCTTATCTCACAATCAAGTTTAAGGGGGGAGCGGAGGGTTATTGTAGAATTCGATGAGTAAGTTATTCGTACAGATATTTTAAATAACTGCTGACGAGAAAACAATAAGCGATATTTAGATGCCAGTTTTTCTTTTGTTTTACTTATTATGAATTCAGATAATAATCCATCATTTTTCTTTTTGTTTGAAATAATTCATCAAATTTGGTGGATATTTAGAACGGGATCAGGATTATGGGTTTTATCAAAGCGCTATATGATTGGTGGATGCACAATAATCGTATTGGTATTTCTTCCCAGTGAAAACTCATCCAGTTAACTCATTAGATGCGTTTCCTCTAAAAAAAGTGAATATAGGATTTAAAAATCATTTCACTCATTTTTATTTGGAAATAAAAACACGAAACCGCATAAATCCTCATGGAAAAGAATCATCCGTAGAAAGGATCACCATTTTATGCCATTTTTGATCAATATAAATCTAGAAAAATGTTATATGTTGAATTTCCGCTGCGTGTAATCATAACTATTGAAGGATTTATTGGAGCTATATTAAATTCTTTATCATTATTTGTTGTGTTTAAAACACGTTTTGGTTCAAAGTCAACAACACTAATGTTAAGATTGCAACCCATATTCGATATGTCTGCGTGCTTTTTATACGCAATGTATACAGCGACAGAGAATGGTAGACCGACGAAAATTTTATTCTTAGATAAAATATTATGTTATTTATGGTCAAATAATATTGCATTTTGGTTAGGTGTTGTTTTAAGTGTACACAATATTGTATGTATTTCAGTTGATCGTTTTATTGCTGTATTATTTCCTATTGTATATAAACAGCACCAGCTATTGATAATTATAATGTTTGCTATTTATGAATTCTGTATGACAGGATTATTATTTGTACCGATAATATTTTTCCGACTTTTTATTAATGGTACATGTACATATGTGACTGGACCAGATGGAATAGATTCAAATGTATACATTGCATTTCGAGGATATACATGGTTAATATTTCAATATATTCTTCCATTAATTACTGTGACCATGTGTCATGCAGTAATTGTCATACAAATGAAAAAGCGACAACGTCGATCTATAAAATCTTCATCAGTGATTGAAATTTCACATACTGATGGTATGCAACAACGTGTAGACCATGCATCGAATGAGAATAAGAGGTTAGTTGGTTTAGTAGTGATCACTGCACTGATGTCAAGTCAACAGGCTATACTGCATTCATACGAGAATATACGTTATTTCTTGACAATGTTAAACATTGTCATATTTAGTTATGGTACAGTTGGTCAACAAATGGGACCATTTCTGATTCTATTAAGTAGTTGTATAAATCCATGTATAATTATTGGAACAACAGTATCATTGCGTAGACAATTTTCAAGTTATGTACACAAAATATGGACCGTAATCAGTAGAAAATGAAACTTTCTATGATCTTTGTTTCTTTTTTGAATTTTAAAATCTTTCTTGACGCCACTGTTACCCTTCATGGTTAGTATCACACCTTTGCCTGTAATTTCGGAGCTAAATCCCTCGTCTGTTAGTCATGTTCAAATGTTCAATGTTTTTCATTCACAGATGTATTGTACATAATAATATCATGTTAAGTAAACCTACATACAATCTAATTTTCAAATACAATGTTAATTTCTTTAAAAATATATGTGATGATTTAAATTATATTGCTTGTCTTAAAAAAAACGTTGGAAAACATTCATTTATTGTGATATCAAGTTTCTATTAGTAGAGATAATCCAACTGTTTTAATTTAGTCTAGATTAATCTTCATTTAAGTTTGAAATTTATTTCGTAAAAATTAAATTAGCTGCTTCAGTTTTATTCTAGGTTTGACTTAGTGTCAGAAAGCCATGGAGGTTTCTGATTAGAAAACGTGATAAATTAGTTAAACTTAATTAACTGGGAACTTAGAAGTGATATTAGAGTGAAAAGCCAAAGCAGTCAACATTCATATCCACAGAATGGTGTATGAATTTCCAAATCGTACCACAAAATGCCTTTCATGATTAAAGCTACAAGAGAAAGACCACGGTTTCACTTTCGAATAGGTTCTGCGATCACAAAAACAGCACTGTTCAGTGCTCAGGTTAATTTGGAACTATTTTTATGATACGTATTGTACAGAGAACGTGATCTGAGAGTCTAAGGTTTTATTGAACATACTGTATATCCAATTCATGATCTATTTGTTGTCTTCGGCTGATTATTTCAATTTTGGGAAGATATTGCCAGGGAACTAGTGGCACATACTTCGGATCAAATAAACCTCACAGCTATACAATTATCAATACAACACAGTTAAACGTCAAAGTCTTCGGCTATTGAACAACTCTGTCTCACTGTTGTCAAAAGCCACATACTTTCCTAAGAATCTAAATCTTTTTATCAGTTAACTTGAATCTATGCAGTATGATCAACCTGCTTCCATGTCGAACTATCAATAAAAATAATCTTTATCAAAGACGTCATTAAAAACACATGAAATAATAATCCGTAAGTCTTGTTGAGCGATACTCACAGATACTTAAATAGTTTAGCTTTCTTAAACACATGGCTTAATTACTTTAGCTGGGGAATCTTAAGTTCACAATACTGTGTGCCTATTTTTGAACCAAGCAATTTGTTTATGTTGTACTTCTTCAGGTAACCACTGCAGTTTACAGTTTTATACATTCTGTTTGGGTCCACGGCTTACCTCCTGTAAGCCTATAATGGGTACATTTATCAGTCACCAGATTGTAAGCGATGTCATGTGTTTGGTCTTCAATAGTGTTGGTGTTTACTGAATTCTATATTGTGAACAAAGCATGAACAATAAATTCATCTCGTATTATCCTGCAAATATGTTTGTTTTTCTTTGTTTAAACTAATAAAGGGAACTGGTTATATGTAATATGATATCATTGTTTTCGTTGGTCCTTGTCAGTAGAATGCAGCCTAAACAATTTTAACACCATTATATGAAGTATTCATATACTCTAATTAATAGGCTAGGAATTCAAGACCATTAATATTTAGGTATTTAGATATAATGAATCGAAAGGAAAGAATGATAGCTCTCAGTAAGCTTGATATGGAGCATATGTGGAAAAGTTAAAAGCATATTCTAGAGGCAAGGATAAAAGTGGCGCATTAACCCGAGGTTTAAAAAAGTTAGCATCACATGTTGCGTAAGAGTCGTAAATTTTGATAATTTAAAGTGACTAAAAATAATAAGTTGAACAGATGAAAAATATCCCAGTCAAGTGTACAGATGAAGACAAAAAATAAATCAGGGGACATGAAATGACAATGTCAAAATTAAGATTAAAGTACTAAAATGGAAATAAAACAAAATAAAGTTTTCTCTCCATTGTAGAGAAAAATTAATAGTAGTTATAGTCTGAATGCACAAGTTAGGCTTCAACCTCTTGATCTCTGCTGATACGGGGATACGCAGGATGCTTTAATTACTTTAAAACTTCAGTTTCGCGCAATTTTCCACCGGGTGACAAGAGATCGCGTTACTGAGGATTGCTACACCTTTTAGCCACAAGTTCCTTTGAACCTGCTCAAACATATGGTCACAAATCGTTTCTTTTGTTCGTCCAATGTTTGTGCTTCAGCGCGTTAAGATCAGAACATCAGAGGATTTTATGCCCGAAAAGTGTATGCAAATGTCAATATCCAAACCAATTGCCTCTAAAATCCAGTTAAAAATGTACCTGTAAGTGTATACTAGTTTTATATTTACGTATGTTACCATAGTATAGAACTGAAAGGACTTCCCGGAACGAATATTCAATTATATACTCGCTTGCCCTGATTAGTTTGAACAAAAACAAGATAGAGGAAAGCTCATTTTATTTCACGGTTTTTCTTCAGATACTAAAAACTCAGAAAGTAACATAAGTTATTTTAAATTTAAATATATAACATATTTCAAAATCATTTCAACTCGAAACACATTTAGTAATTCTTAACACAGTAATGCAAGCAGAGATGTGAATACAAGATAGTTAACATTCGAAGATCCAGAGTTTATTTTCAGACATAATATGGTGAATAGTTATAGAGCTAAGAATGGGGGAAGGAGTAAGAGGATATAGTGAGTAAAAGTAAAATTACTACACAAACAAGCAATTAGGAAAATTGAAAACTTAATAGTGAGTTCAGCTCAGCGAGTGTAAATCAAAATCAAGTGAAAAATGGTGATGCAGAAAAAAACAAAGAGGGATGTAGTTACTAGGATAGTGAAAGGTTAATAACGCAATTTTTCGGTGTATAGAAGTTAGACTGAAGTCGTTTACTGTCAATGGCTAATGTAAAAAGGTGTGACCAAGGTTCTCATCACCTACTGATCATTTTGAATGCCTGACTAATTTAGACTGCATGTTCCGAGTCCCTCTGAAGCCTAGCGAGTGTACCTGTAAGCACTTTCCTGCCTTTCATACGAACGCTCATAGGAATGTGTTCAGAAAATATAGTAGACTATCTCCTCTCAATCTTACCTATATACTTGATATCACAAGTGCATGTGAATTTGTAAATGCTACTGGAGTTGATATAAGCAGGATACGTATCTCCTTTATACAGAATTAACGAGCTTGTCGCGTTGTAAATTCTAATCAGCTTACTGACAGGTGACATCCTTTCCAACGCATCCTTGATTCTTTCTCCGATTCTTGTTGATACTTCGTCCTTTTTGTACATGAGGAATAGTTGTCAACATGTCCTCTCTTAAGAAGTTCCTTAAGGTATTTATCCACTGTGTTTTCAAAGGCTGTTGTTGCATCGTATTTTGACTTATCTCATCATATCACTCGGAAGCACTGTCATTTTATTACACCACCTTGACCTTCATGTAGTCTAAGTGTAACAATTTTATCACTGTTTGACATGTTTTTCAATACGAACCTGTGCTATTTAGGAGAAGTCTTTGGAAACAGGTTGTTTCACACATCCATTTCCCGAAATTAATAGATCAGCCAAACTGGCTCCAACTCCAAACAGTTTGCGTCGTAACACCAAGTCAAATATTACGTCATCTAAGAAACATATCTAGTCATGTTTGACAGTATACTTAACAGTCTCAGTATCGTATGTCGAATCGAGTTTATTAACATAATCCAAAACCTACAACGGAAGACCACAAAATAATGTGGGAATAAACTCAGAAAATCTCCATTAGTAGAGAAAACACGAAGAATTCACCATCTCCGGAAATATTCATATGCTGCGTATCGAAGATGAAACTGAGCCTAGTCAAAACAGAAGCTCTAATTTCCTATTTTCATATACCTAGTAAAGCCAAAAACAATCCCAACTCCCATAGTTCTGAGTAGAATTGAGTAGCATCATTAGTTTCAAGTTTTATGGAAAATCCTACACCAGTGAGTTCATGACTTAAGAATACCCCTTCAGATTTTAAGAAATCTGTAGGTAAATATCTTGATAGAAATATTCACCTGAACAGTGAGTTAGAGCGGTATAGACTGTTAACTTATTAGTCAGCCATAACGAATATGTAGTGATCATCTAATAAAAAAGTCCAAACTCAACATTTTTAACATTGAATTCTGGCGCAGAGATAGGATGTTAACGTTATCGTCATGTAATATCACAAACCTAGATATTATCCTTTACACGATCATGAATGTACACTGCTGAAAACTCCGAAACTAAAACCAAACAGATATTCAGTACTACGTAGGTTTTCAATGGTTACCTGGAAGATATGATTTCAGTTTTCGGTTAGATCATACGTGCGAACTAATAAATGAGTCCTTAATTAGAACTAAACATCTATTTAGTACCTTTTGGTCTTTATCAGTTCGTTGTGAAATCTACTTGAAATCATCTGAATCCCGGGCAAACTCAACTGTTGTACACAGATCTTCTTTACGTATGATATTAAATAGTACTTATAACTTGTAAAATGTTAGTAGTATTATTTCATCTTCACCTGTTTATCACTAGTTCCCATTTCTATATAGTGAATTCCAAGTTGAGTAATATCTTGGATACTGAATGGTAATACTATCGTGTATATGTTCGACAGATACCTATTAGAAAGTGAAGAAGAGCACGCAGTTCGGAGAAGAGCATTTTTTAGACGAACTCATTCAACCAGTTGTATAATCTCATTTATATACACATTTTGGATGATCATGTATACTGTGCTAATTTATTTGAGTAGTTAGTCCACCATACCAACAAAAATAAAAGTCGAAATATAACTCATCATAAGTTACTCAAAATTAAAGTGATAACTGCAAATAGTGAGGGCTAACCAAAATGAGATGACAAGCTAGTGAATATTTATTAAGTTTGTGGCAATGGTTTGGTTATTATTTTCATTCAAAAATCAGATGTTAATAAAGCACATATGGATGTTACGTGAGAGGTGATTCGAACAAAATGTG